CCTGTTAATGATTTTGTCCAAAATAGCACTTGTGCTCTTCAGAGATTTCTTAGAGAACAGGACTTTGTCGGCGTTCAATTCAGTCGTTATCTTCTACGTTTATGTTTATACTTTCATTTAACTTGCTTTTGGTGCTTAGGGTAATCTTTTGGGACTACTTATTCGAAGAAAGTCAAAAAATGTATTACTGATAGTACGCCCATGTATCAGACCTCAGGTGTTTCTGGTCATGTGGTTGTTTTTTTCTACACAAACGTTTGACGTCCGGGAAGGCGTAACTATCTTTCGATGTGGCCCAGCGCTTCGTCACCAACAATTACGGGTTAGTCATCTCTGCTGAGCTTCTTTGTTCACGCCTGTTTGTTTGTGGTCGTCTAACAGCCTCTGGTTGTGTGTCCCCAAACGGGCCGCGTAGTAGATGTGCTGGATCAATGCGGAGCACGGCAGGAATTATTCGGGTTGCGCTTCCATAACAAATGCTGAACACGGGAGATGTGGTGGCATGCGTATGTGCAGGTTCACGACGCGCCAGCTCCCTTGCGCTCGATCCTGCTTCCAGTCTTCCTGACTATTTCTTGATACCAGGTCCAGGTGTGTGGGGGACGAAAGAGTGATTTAGACGCCGTGCACCATAATCCAGCGCATGCCGCCGTCTAAATCTGGGGTCTAAATCTTGTCTAAATCTCCGGTCGAAAGGTTAGGATATAGGTTGCTCCGCAAAAACCAATATCAGTATTCCAGACATCAACCACTAAGCAACGAGCCTGGTGTACAGTGGGTTTGAACGTTTGAATTCCACTTAAAAGGTCGCGGGTTGCAACCTCGGCTGCTGTACCACCTGGCATTAGGCATGACCGGCTGATGATGCTTAATGAGCCAGAAATGACCATTCTAGTCTTCCTAGTCTTTGTAAAAAACGTTCGGTTGTGAAGTACCACCGGTTCCATTTAACAACCCTGGACGCGGCACTTCACAACTGTCAGAATTTCCGGGCAGGGAAAAACTTGATCCTTGA